TTTTTTTAATTTAATTTATTAAATTTGAATTTAGAGAGATATACCTCAAAATCAAATATAATTTTTCTATGAAATGATATCTTTTTGTAGATATATATTTTTACAAATTGAGACTTTCCAGACCATATAAATTTCTATGTAAATTTAGAGCTCTACATCTAATTTTTCTAAAAGAGATTTGAGTTCTATTATATTTGAAATTATTTTAGATCCTCAATAAAAATGAGATAATGCCTCACAACATTCATTTTGCATTTTCTGCAATTTCATATTATTTGTCATTGAACCCGACCTCTGCCCGAACAGTGAAGACAGAGTTGCCTCCTGCAATAATCCCACATTTTTTTAAAAAGAAAATCAGGTGTCCTTACGGCGGTTGGCAAAGACAGATGGGGAAACGGTGGGTTCTTGCAGTCAGAAAAAGAGAAGAGAAGAGACATACACGGTTGCTTTTGTTTTCATCTAAAACAAAGTTTGAACAATTAGTGCTGCTCTGTTTTTCCTTTGTCCAACTGGCAAAATAAAATGTGATTTTGCACCAAAAAACCTCACGAATTTTTTACATGAAATTAATGATATTCATAGTTCACACACTTCTTTATCTCACTCATACATTCTTTAATAAAAGAATCAATCCAAAACTAATAATAATCACACACACACACACACACACATGCACTCAGAAGAACTGATCAAGCAGGATATCATTACATGGCCTGTTCAGTGGCTGTATCACACAATTTAAAAACCACTACAAAGATGTTCCTTTATAATTCCAACCTTCTAAATGAATAGGACTAGTTAACACACAGAGTGAGAAAAGTTATAGTTTAGCTTACCTGCAGAGCTCTTACTCCAAAGGACCTGACCATCAATAGCTGTGAGATGTTCATCATCAAGGCGCTTCCATGTCTTAACGGACTTAACAGCTCCCCAAGCACCCTCTTCAGTCTTCTCTAAAGATGCTACCACCACCCTTGCTCTCCTTGGCCATCCAGCTTTCCCATAGGCATGGTATCCAAAACCTCCAGCATAACAAAGTTGTATGCCAGTCAATTCACCACAGAAGTCATTGATATGATCATGACCAGTAAAAACAGCTTTCACATCCCCTGCCGCAACCATGGTTGTGAAGAAGCCTGAGTTCACAGATGCAGAGCTAATGCCTTCCTGTTTTTCTCCAGTGGAGTTCGACGAGTCAAAACTGGCAAATTCAGGCAATGGGATGTGAAAATATGCAATTCCAGGAGCAGCAGCTTTCTGAGCCACTGGTGGGCTCATGTAGGCTTTCTGCAGTACAAAACAAAATGATATCAAGCATATTCTTATGAAATGTGGAACTATACTCTATCTGCAAATACATGCACTCTAGTTGTTGAACTATGCAGACTTTCAGAATATGGAACATGGTGTGACCAACGGAGCTACTGCAGGAACAAGGCCACAAGCAAAGGATTATAGAAATAAAACTTAAATTCAGTATGACTATAATCCAGAGAGACTACTACCTTAAGCTTTGCAGAAGTGCGTTGAAACCAAAGCTGCTGAGAAGGCTTAATCCAACCATAGCTAGGAATGGAAGGAACCGTGGAGTAATCTCCACTGTCAACGAAGTATAGATTGAGAACAGACTTGTTTTCAAAACCAGACCCCTCAACTCCACCAACCTCCAGGTTATAGTTACCAAAACCATCAATAACATGCACTTCTGGAGGATTAAATTGAGACATAGTGTTCTTCAATCCAACCATATGTTTCATGACACCCTCCCTTGAAAGGGTGCCTTCCTGGTCATGATTCCCCAAAACAGCTGCCCATGGTATTTTTGAGGCAATTGCAGGTGCAAAGGCAGCATCCAAAGATTTTGCTGGATCAGTAGCATCATATGCAAAGATGTTATCTCCTGTCACAAGCGGTAAACGTGTGCAAAGGTTAATTTCAATTTTTGGTACACAAGATGTGGATTTATGGACCATACATAATGGGATAACCATCTTTTATCCACAAAACACTCTTCAACTGCCCTAAAGATCCAAACTTTAGACCTCCAAAGTCAAAGTCTCAAATTCAATGGATATCAAATTAAAGTGCCTTAAAGATTGGTATGTCTTGTAGACATTGAGCAAGTAGAAAGAGACAACTAGCAAACAAAGCTAATATCTGAGCCAGTCACACCATAATAAATAGATTTTGAATTTCTATAGGGACAATACCAACAAAGCAACCATTTTGTATCTTTCTATTCCCTTGTAACTTATTGCTTCCTAGAATCTCTCTCCCTGTAAAGATTTCATCATCTTGAAACCCATAAATAGAAAACCTCAATTACCATTACAGCAAAAGAGAATTTTTCCCTCAAGATATAGCAAACCAGATATTTTTTTGCTTACACAGTTTGCAATTTGCATTTAGACTTGCAATTGCAGACTAGAAACATAGATAGTAGGGATCATTGGACTTACCAGTGAAAACAATAAAATCGGGCTTCTCGGCTAGAATCATCCGCTGGGTAAAAGCGGTGGTATTGAGATCAGAGCAACCAGGAACCTGACTGGGCAGCACATCCAAACACCCCGTCTTCTACCCATCAGCATAGTGCATGTCAGCCACTTGCAGTATCTTAAATTCTCCATTCTGCCCAAACCTCAGCTTCTGCCCTTCCCCCTGCACCTGTTTCCCGGCAGCCGCAACATTGATGGAGACAGAACATAGCAGAAGCACAGCCAAAGCCACAAAATTGTTAACAACCCATGAAGCTAGCCCCATGATCCTTCCTTCCTTCCTAGCTTGTAAAAACCCAAAATTTCAGTCTTAATCGGCTGAGCGTGCAGTTTCTGAAACTGGGTTTGGGGTGTTTTAACTCCAAAGGTGTGGAAGATGACAATCAAGCAGACAAGGACAAGACAGGGAAACAAATGAGAGAATCGAAGACAAGCTAAAACCTTATCTTCCCCATTTGATAGTGCATCTAAAAGGGATATTCGCAGAAATAAAGGCTCAGGCCCATCTCCAATGCCGATTGATGAGGACAGTCGCACACTTCACAGTATCTTTTTTCATCCCCTTCCTTTTTGTTACGATCCTTTCTTCTCCTGTAAAACCAAACAGAGAGTTTATTTTCCTTAAAAAAAAAAGACAAACTATTCTCCATGTTTCTTTGACGGGGTCACGGTTCCCTTCATTAAATTCAGTGAGCAGCAAAGTCCTCTTACAGGCTCTCTCCGTGTTTAATAATCCCAAAATTTTCTACCCGCCAGTTTATCTTCCCAACCAGTTGTCAACCAAAATTTATTGCACTAGCTCTGGGGAATTATTATAATTTTTTTAACTACATAAAAGAGCTGGACTTTTTTCGATGGTGTAGACCAAAGTTCAAGCACACTGCGAACACTTACTCACACATGTTCCGTACCCTCTGCGGCCCCGGGTTCCTTGAGGAAATCCCGAATTTGTTAGTTTCGATGAAGGAAGATGGTGTTGTCGTTGGTTCTGAGACTTTCAAGTTCTTGCTCAATGCGTTT